GAAGTAAGGTATTCTAACACCGAATTAGAATCACCAAAAAGTCGATGGTAGGTTGAGTGTATCTCGAATTGTCAAATTTAGTACACTTATTAAAGCTTTTCACCTCCGAATTCTTTGAAACTGAACCGATCGACTTAAAATTTGGCAGATTGTTAGAGAAAAGGTCAATGAACATTAGTGACATAGCGCCGATTGATGCTTCCACCCTGTTGGGGGTTGACACCCCTTCTCGTAGGTGGAAATTTTTTTCAAAAATAACACTAGAAATCGATAAAGAATCAAATTTAGAAGAATTTTTTCGAGAAATCAATAGTCTTAGTTATTCACGATTGAAAACTTTTTTTTTGAGTGAAAAAAAGAACACTTTTTCAAAGTATTTTTCGTGAATAACTCAAAAACTACGCATTTTATTAAAAAAGTGTAAGGAACAAAAATTTTGCTTATAAATATATAAAGAAAATCGTTTTTTAAAAAGTGTTGTACGTCCTATACAAAGAGAAATATGGTTAGTGAAAGAGGACTTGTTTGGGGGGAATACTCGAATTGATGTATTCAACGTCAAATAAAAGAAAAAGGATTAATTTTACGTGTACAACGCTCCGGGAGTTTATTGTAGTAGGTACTCAAAAAGACCTTCAAAATGAGCACTTATAAAACTTAATTAGTGCAAAATTGAAGGAGTTATCGTCAAGAACAGATGGGTTGCTCATATTTTTTAAGGAAAAATGTGCAATAAACGTTGTACCATTTCCATCAGAATTAAAATTAATCGTAGACCCTTTACAATTAGTTTTGTTTTAGTGTTTTTCATACGATCCTGAAGTTAGACCGGTTTAGAATGCGTATTTTTTGAATAATGTATGGTAAAAGTTGAAAACGTATTTTTCATTATTCAAAAAAAATTGTCTTATTTATATAATAACTCTGAAACTATGAAAGATACGTAAAAAATGATAGACAACAAAAATGTAACTTTTTTTCAACAAATATTTTGCTTTTTTTATTCCTATAGCATAAAAAATAAAGGAGATATCGCCGCTTGAAGTATCCATTTTAGTGGAAAAACGACCTGTCTCGAGCTTTGAACTGCAAATTTTTTGTCTAGGAAAAATCTTAAAAGATTTAGCTATTTGAACCCATTTAAATTTAATTTTTACATTACGCGAATACTAAGAAAAAAGTAAGAAAGCTAAAAATTATGCATATATATGTCATATTTGTATAGAACTATAGAATATTGATTTCTACAAAAATTATTTTGTCGAATTAGTACAGTCATTGAAGCTGAATATCAGCTGGAACCTCCGAATTCTTTGAAACTGCATGGATTTGTATGAAAATTTAGAATCATTTAGGCTCATCTTAGGCTCAAGTTCAAAAGTGACATAAGCCGGATTGACGCTTTTTGTTTTTTAGGGGTAAAAACTAACCCTAAGTGAAAAAAATTGAAAAATTTAAGTTTTAAGTATTTTATTGATAAAAATCTTGTTCAAGCACAAAGATTAAATAATGTTCAATGTTCTCGAACAAGTTTTATGATATATTTGATCTTTTCGACCGTATATTTAACCCTTGAAAACTACCCCTATGCAAAAAATAATGATAAAAAATTACTTTTTAAAGATTTGGAATGATTAAATAGAGCAATTATTTAAAATAAAAGTTACCTTATAGCTAATAAAATAATTTTTCCCTTTCAACCCCTAAAAACCACTCCTGTATTAACAAAAATGATAAAAAATTACTTTTTAAAAGCTGGGAACACTTTAACGATGCAATTATTTTAAATAAAAATTCCCTTATATTGTTTAGGAGAAAATATTTTACTCTTGCCATTTTCAACTCTTATAAACTACCCTTTTACCAATACTAATGTAAAATATTTTTATTGAATCCTAATATTCTGCTCCAAAAATGAGAAAGCCTATTTTGCTCCGAAAAAATGTCATTTTTTTTACTATAACTCAGTTAATTTTGAAGCTATAGTTATCCTACAAAAAAGCATTTTAAAGATAATTTCAAGAGCTGTAAGATCGTTTGCATATAAAGTCCTTTTAAGTTCTTCGTTTTTTAAAGAGAAAGGATCGAAGGGCTCGAGACAGATCGTTTTTCCACTAAAATAAATACTTCAAGCGGTGATATCTCCTTTATTTTTTATGCTATAGGAATAAAAAAAGCAAAATATTTGTTGAAAAAAAGCTACATTTTTGTTGTCTATCATTTTTTACGTATCTTTCATAGTTTCAGAGTTATTATATAAATAAGGCAATTTTTTTTAATAATACGTTTTCAGCTTTTACATCTCGTGAGTCAAAAGATTTTATTAGCTAACTTTTCTATTTAAACAAATAAGTGAGGAAAACAGTTTTTTCACTTTGCAGGGAAAACCATCAATTTTAGCGAAAAGTGACTCGCAGACAGCTTGTAGGGAGTAAAATTATTTACAAAATGAGACTTGTTAAATTAAAATCGATTAATAAACAAAAAAGTTATTGCAAGAAAACAAGAAAAGTACCGAAAATAGATGCAATGGATAGCTAGCAAAAAATACAAATTTAAAAAAAAAGCACCCTCTACGACAAACAGGAGCCAAGATAAGAATTTTTTTAAAATCGTAGCGCAATTGTTTATAAACATTAAGACTTGAATTTTTCGCAAAATAAAGTTTACGACGTAAACTACGATTTCCCGTGAATTGCATTGAAAAATATGGAAAATTAACGACTCACGAGCCCTTTAAAGAGAAGGTACTCGCTAAGTAAACTGTCCGTCGGCAGGCGGCGTGGTGGTGGGGGAAGCTCGTCCAAGCGAGTCCCGCGCGCGAGAAAAGTTCAAATTGATGCGCGCTGTAAAATTTTGCATTATCTCGGCTTCGATTCATCGTAAAAACTTTTTTATATTTAAACTGGGGTAGCTCGACGAAAAAATAACAATGAGCATATTTACGAATTCGTAAAATAGCCCTGAACCCCAGAAAAAATGCATCTTTTATACTGAATTTTTTTTAATTTACAAAAATGTCACAAAAATTATTGTTAAACAAAATATTAATTAAAATTTCAACTACGGAATTATTTTACTATTATTAAATAAATAAATGAAGCTATCGTTCAGCCAAATTGGCTAATGGATTACCCTCAAAACAAGAGGTTTTTGTATCAGGACAAACAACTTATTTAAAAAAGAACAATGAACCCATTTCTTCTGCTCTAACTTTATTAAAATGTCAAAAATATCTCAAAGCACTCGCAGACATCATTTTTCTACACGTACATCCACACGTACACACATTTTTCCTATTCTTTTATTACGCTTATTGTTGTTATCCAATCTTGTGCTTACTCACAAATGTATTTCTGTAAACCAAATGAAAATTAAGAAGAGTTTTAATTGGCGGTTTCAAGAGCCCTTTGTGCGTCTCCTGCAGGCCCGGATCCAGAGACTGGTTTTGGGGGTGGCGCAAAGCACTTCTTTATCATTATTATTATTATTATTATTATTGTTGTTGTTGTTATTTTTTTGATGACGTAAGGTGTAGGTTAGGAAGGAGGACTTGCATTAATATCGACTAACTGCCTGTTGTCGTTTGGAGAAATTGAAGATCTTTAAAAAATGTTGTGCTTTGGGGGTGGCGATCGCCACATCGCCACCCCCTCTGGATCCGGGCCTGGTCTCCTGGCAGCTGAAAGTCCGCGATCAAAAGCCGTCTCTCTCGCTTCACCCCTGCCCCGGTATCCCCTCTAATGGTACCCGTCATCGCGACACTACCGAAAATAAGTACTTACTCACAAATCCGGCATATTTCGAATATCATCTGTTAACAATCGAAATGATTGACCCAAATATTTCCCGAACTATTTCTTTGATCCATAGGCCGCGGGCCAGCTATTTCTCCCGTCGACTTTGAAGGGGTCCCGGGGGTCAATGATAATGGTGTCGACACCGTCAGCGAGGTGTTAGGTGACTTCCTGTATTTCAGATTGAAGAAGGCAATAAATTCTTTCGTCCTCCCTTTTTTTATTTATAATATGACATGAGCGTTAATTAGGACCCTTTGAAACTTCGGAGTGTGAAATTTGAACAAAAAATGTACAGGGCGTTTTCCTCTACACGACCTCAAAGGCCGAATGAAAATAGATTTGAAAGGCGTTAGACGTGTCAAGTGTGTCAAAAAAAATGGGATGTTAAGTCAAGTGTGCTATGGAATTGTTAAAACAGTTGAATCTTGTATGGAAAATTTCCATGGCAGATATGATTGACGCGCAGATCAATGCTATATCGTGCCAGATTTTAAATAAAAATTAAAAAAATATCGCTACAGCTTCTATTTTTTATCTTAAAAATTACGAACGAATTAGTTCTAATGAGGAGGTATTTTTAACAGTTTTGTAAATACAATTTTTCAAAGTTGAAAAAAAAAACACATTTTTATGTCAAATTTGATTGAATTAATCAACATAGTAAAGAACTAAGTTAAATCTGCTTATTTTGATAGCGGGAAACTGTAGAGCTTTATATGTACGGAATATTGGAACTTCCTGTATAATTTTGCAATGAATAGTTTAGTAAAAAAATATTAAAAGTGAATTTATCGGGATCCAAATCATTGAAATCTGTATGCAGCCAGAAATACAGATATATTCATGTTTGTATTTTTAACAATGTAAATTGGGCTTTTGTACAAAACATTCATCGGATATTGCACCAAATTTAATTTCAACAAGAATTAAAAAATCTTTTATAAAGGTTCCCATATAAGTTTTGCTTAATATCGATTTGCACTAATTTTAGAAATCTTGACAAATACTCTTTCTATCCTATTTCAATAGGGAGTATCCTATGTAACTGGAAAATATTTAACAACAAATAAAATCTGAACGTACCATCTGTATGAAAACATCCTATGAACGGTACGTTCGGTGACGGTAAAAGTCTTTATTACAGTGTTATGTCAAATATTTATATTGTTTTGACAGTATTGTTGACAGTACACTGTCGAATCGATGGTATTGTTGATTTTGCCCTTATAGAAACAGAATTTCAAAATATTGTACATTAAAGTAAAATATTATATCGATTTAACTCTATCATTTATTTGTTACAATGTCTCGTAAGCGGGATATCTCCGTAAGTAGAAAAATATGTGTTTACAAAATATTCAACCTGACCCTCGTCTGCTTGCAGAAAGAGGAAATAGCCAGGCAGTTCCTGCTGCCCGAAAGACAGTCCAAAATAGACACCTTACTCAAACAAGACGGTCAGGCGTACTGCATATGTCGTTCTTCCGATTCCTCCCGTTTCATGATAGCCTGTGACGCTTGCGAAGAATGGTAAGAACCCCTTTTAAACTTCACGAACATTTTTATACGTTCACATCCGTAGGTACCACGGGGACTGCATAAAAATATCTGAGAAAGAAGCCAAGTTGATCAAGCAGTACTTCTGTATCCGCTGCAAGGAGGAAGATTCCACCCTGGTCACCCGTTGGAAGACCAAGAGGGAACGGGATGAAGCCAGCTCGGTCCAGAATAATTCTGAGGACCGCAAATCGAGGAAAAGGAAAGATCGAGGGGAGAATAAGACGGATAAGAAAACGAAGAAGTGCGGCGAGTGCATGGGCTGTTACCGAACCGAGGACTGCGGTAGATGCGACGTGTGCACCCGTAAAAACAGACACGGCTCGTCCAAGAATAAGGAGCGGTGCAAGCAGAGAATCTGCGTCAATTCTCTAGGAGGGTTAGTATGGTTTAGTAATCGTTTCCGACGTTACTTCATAGTTTTTATTTACAGAGCGCGACGTAAGAGGAGGGAATCGAGTTCCGACAGGGACCAATCGTTCAACGAGCACTTGAAAACGGATTACCCGAGGCAGTGCTACGGTCCGAAGTGCGTGAATAGTGCACGTTACGGGTCTAAGTACTGTTCGGACCAGTGCGGTATGGATCTGGCGAAGACGAGGATACTTCAGGTCTTGCCGCAGAGACTGCAGGAGTGGGCCTTGAGCCCCTCGGTTGCGGAAGAGATGAACATCAAAGGTAAGAAAAACTATACAAGATCGCACAATACTGTTGAGACGTTTCTCGTATTACTGGAGGAAATAGACAAAGAGTAGTTCAAATGTCCCATGATCAAAAACAGTTTTTGGGATTGTCGATTAGTTATTGTGTTTTTTTAATTGTTTTTGTGATATTAGATTACTGTAAAATTTTTTAATTTTTGTAAAAATTTTTTAATTTGTTTTTTAATTGTTATATGTTGTTTTTTAAGTCCATTTAATAACTTTAAGGGGATGTTTCTGAATCAATTTAGAGAAAGTTTGGAAATATCGATTTTTTTCCTTATTGTCCAAAAAAGATGCCTGCCGATTGGTGAGAAATGTTTGGCCAAAAATGATAAACGCCCTATATATTTTAAACATTTCTCACGATTTGGAGATGTGGTAGATTTGGCGTTGTGACAATTTTTTTTTAATCGGTTTTGATACGTTTGAACTACTTTTTGTATATCTCTTCTCGACTTACAATAAATTTTTTCGAAAGTGTCGAAATAGTTCCATCCTCTGTAGTTCTTACAGTTCAGTACTTTAAAACCTGATTTTTCTTTTTCGGTGCTGAAAAAGTTTATAAATGTGTTTTTTAACGTGTGCGTTTCCTTTCAGCTCTCGATCAAGTCAGAAAGCAGCAGGTCGAGGTGAAACAGATACTTCAAGAACTGGACAAGCGCCACAGAGAGCTGGACTTCATAGTAGAACGAGCGAAGAACGCCTCGATCGACCCGAATCAGGACAATGACAACGACGAAGATGCCGAAATTTCCATGTACTGCATCACCTGCGGCCACGAGATCCACTCCAAGACGGCCATAAAGCACATGGAGAAGTGCTTCAACAAGTACGAGTCGCAGGCATCATTCGGGTCCGTCTTCAAGACCAGAATCGAAGGTATGCAGGTAAAATTTCAACGATACGAAGCTAAATCATTGTTTTCTCTATATTTCAGGCAACAACATGTTCTGCGACTTCTACAACTCCTCGAACAGGACGTACTGCAAGAGGCTGCGCGTCCTGTGCCCCGAGCACTGCAAGGACCCTAAGATAAGCGAGTACGATGTGTGCGGTTGCCCGTTGGTGACGAACGTCTTCTCCCCGACCGGCGAGTTCTGCAGGGCCCCGAAGAAGTCCTGCACCAAGCATTACGTCTGGGAGAAGCTGAGACGGGCCGAGGTATGTTGCAATGGTCGATTCGATTCTAAGTGTTAATTTTTCTCTTGCGTAGATCGACCTGGAGAGGGTGCGGCAGTGGTTGAAGATGGACGAGCTGTTGGAGAAGGAACGGCAGATAAGGACGAGCATGGCGAGCCGGGCGGGGGTCTTGGCGCTGATGCTCCACAGCACTTACAACCACGAGCTCATGGAGAGGATCACGAAGGCGCAGGACCAGCAGAGCATTCAGCGAGAGATGGCGAAACGCATGAAGATGAAGCCGCGGTATTCTTGAAAGGGGCGAAACTGTGGTACGGAAGGTGGCAAGCTTCAATTTTGATTAACTCTGTATGATTATTAAATAATTAGTTGTCGCTAATAAAATTCGTAATTTAGTGAGACTGTTGTTATAATTGTGTAGTAGGACTCATTTGATTTCCTAACCTCAACTACGTAATATATCAAATGACATTTAGTAGGTCCTATTTGATTCCCTAGCCTCAATTATATAATATGTCAAATATCGTCGCGTAGGTCTCATATGATTTCCTAACCTCAACTACGTAATATGTCAAACGACATTTAGTAGGTCCTATTTGGTTTCCTAACCTCAAATATGTAATATGTCATATATCATTGCATAGGTTTTGTCTGATTTTCTAACCTCTACGAGATACATCAAAATGTTATTAGTAGGTTCGATTCGATTTCCTAACCTCAATTAGGTAATAAGCAAAATATCGTTTCGTAGACCTAATTTCCTAAATTGGGAAATATGTTAACACTCTTGTTCTGTAATTTATGGTTAGCAGACGATATTGCAAAATAAAGACAGATTCTAACAACAATTTATAAAAAACGTTAATTCATAATTCAGTCAGTGACACAAGATAATGTTTTCACATGAAATATTAGCATATATCTATTACATTTAAACTAATTAACGTAAAATTCGCTATTCCGTTCGACAATTTCAGTTTTTTGTCAGTCGTATCTTACCAAACACAAATCTAGGGTAAAATAATAAATTGTTCAGTGGATACCGCCTGATTTCCTAACCGCATTTATTACAAAATATCGCTAAATATCCTTCAGTAGGTTAGTTGTGATTTCCTAACCTTAATTACGAAATACGTTAAATATTATTTAACCTTCTGATTCTGTAACTTAAATTATAAAATGCATTAAATATTGTTTGTAGGTCTCGTCTGATTTTCTAACCTCAATTACGATATGCGTTAAACGTCGTTCAGTAGGTTCCGTCTGATTTCCTAAACTTAATTACAGTTACATTAAATGTCGTACAGTAGGTCCTGTAATATTTCCTAACCTCAATTATGTAATGTGTCAAATATCATTACGTAGGTTTCGAGGAGTTATTTAGTAGGTCCGATTCGATTTCCTAACCTCAAATACGTAACATGCGAAATATCGTTTCATAGACCTAATTTCCTAAATTAGAAAATAACATTTTGTTCTGTAATTTATGGTTAGTAGACGATATTGCGAAATAAAGACAGATTCTAACAACAATTTATAAAAATTTTAATTCATAATTCAGTCAGTTACGCAAGATAATGTTTTCACATGAAATATTAGCGTATGTCTATTACAGCAAGTTGTGTAATAATTGTGGTGCATTTGAACTAATTAACATAAAATTCGCTATTCTGTTCGACAATTTCAGTTTGCTGTCAGTCGTATCTTGCCAAATGCGAATCTACAAATTTAAGTTACTGAAATGAACAAAATAAGAGGGTAAATATTGTTCAGTAGATTCCACCTGATTTCCTAACCTTAATTACGAAATACGTTACATATTATTTAGTAGGTTCCTTCCGATTCTCTAACTTATACTACGAAATGCATTAAATATCAATTGTAGGTCTCGTCTGATTTTCTAACCTCAATTACGATATGCGTTAAATGTCGTTCAGTAGGTCCTGTAATATTTCCTAACCTCAATTACAAATGTGGTAAATAGTCCAGGATCACCACCATTTTGGTTAATGTACATTAATAAAAATTATAAAAATATTGAAATATTCAATTTGGTTTTAAATTCGGTAGATACATAGTTTTATAATTTTCCGAATCTCAAATTTTCCCCAATACTCTTTGTTGTTACTACGGTGGCTACATAAAGTAGTTCTAATGTACCTTCATCCGTCAATCAACAACACAAATGAATTCGATTTTAATTTGGGTAGATACATATTTTTATAATAATTTTCCTTAACTCAAATTTTCCCCAATACTCTTTGTTGTTACTACGGTGGCTACATAAAGTAGTTCTAATGTACCATCATCCGTCAATCAACAACACAAATGAATTCGGTTTTAATTTTGGTAGATACATATTTTTATAATAATTTTCCGTAACTCAAATTTTCCCCAATACTCTTTGTTGTCACTACGGTGGCTACATAAAGTAGTTCTAATGTACCTTCATCCGTCAATCAACAACACATGAATTCGGTTTTAATTTTGGTAGATACATATTTTTATAATAATTTTCTGTAACTCAAATTTTCCCCAATAATTATTGTTGTCACTACGGTGGCTACATAAAGTAGTTCTAATGTACCTTCATCCGTCAATCAACACAACTTAGCTTTCAATTGCACCGAGTGAAAAAGTGACTGAAATCCATAGCGATAGTGCACAAAAATATACATCAGTATTTTTAACGAGTCGAAAAATAAAAAACCGTAACGTTTTCAAGCGTTTATTGAATTAAATCGTATTAAAACATGATGCGCCGCTTTCAGGGGTGCTCCCACCAGAAAGCGGCTGAATTACTTTTTATTTTCATACAAAACGGTATAATAACGCAACTAAACTAAACTTGTAAGATATTAATTAAATAGTAAAAGCAGAAACGTGCATAAGACAGACGCACATGAAACGTTACACGACCACCCCTAACCCTTGAGGCTGCTCATTCCCGCCCTCATGATTTCATCCACGAGCAACAAATTGCTCGCTATTACAGTGCACGAGTTGATGATCTGCTTCTTGACGATGTAGTTGTCGAAGATGCCCATGTCGCGAGGGATGATCGGTTCGCCAGAGGTCAGATCCAACCCGACAGGATCGGGACTCAATCGAGATTCTTCCTGCAGCTTGACGATGGTATCCTGCAACGAAACGACGAATAAAGCCATTGCGACGATTAGAACTATATTTTTAGTGGCTTACCTGCACGTCGAAACCGGAATTAACGGCTAGTGTTTTCGGAATAACCAGAAGGGCTTCCGCATAAGCGGCGATGCCCAGACGAACTTTTCCTTTAACGGTATCCTTATACGCCAGTAGTTCTTTGTTAGCGGTCACCTCGAAAGCTCCGGCACCTGAAAAAAATGAATCGTTGACACGGAACGATCTTTTTGTGCGTAATTTTCAAACGTACCTGGGATCACTGCCTTGTCCTCAATAGCGTTGTTGATAGCCCTCAAGCCGTCCCTTACGGCGTCCTTTATCTGGATCAACGTGTGCTTGTTGGGTCCCTTCATCAGAATCGTGACGGACTGGGGTACTTTACACTCCTCCACGAAGGTGTACTTGTTCTCCCCCAACACGTGTTCGTAAACGTGTCCCGCTCGTCCCAGCTGTGACTCTTGGAGGTCGTCGAAACTGTTCATCGCCACCCCGCCGCAGGCCAAGGCGAGACGCTCCATGTTACGCCTCTTCGCCCGCCTCAACGCCATGATGCCTAAAAAAGAGAAAGTCAAACACTATAAACGTAGCGAGTATATCGATTCGTACCCTCCTTAGCCAGCATATCCAAACTCATGGGGTCGATTCCCTTTTGGTTGATGACCACGAAGGTCTTGTCGGTCCCGTCACACAGGGATTTTTTCAGAGCGATGACTTTCTTGACTCGCTGCTCGATAAACTCACGCTCGGCGGCCACCATCTTCTCCCGCTCTTCTGCGGTCTTGTAGAAGAAACCCGAGTTAACCTCGCTCTTCTCGTATTCCATGCTGACATTACACGTCAAGATGTAGCAGTTCTTCAGACTCTTCGGCATGTCAGGGTGACGAGATCCATGGTCCAGAACCAACCCTACGAAAAAATCAAAAATTAAACCATCGAAAAAAGCAAATACTAAAATTACCTTTTACTAGACTCGTATCGGTCTCGGTTTTGTGTTGCATCTCCATCAACTCGACCATATGCAAATCGACGGGTTTGTCGCCCTGTTTAATGGATAACACAGCGTCAACACAAACGTCAGTCAACACATCTGCCAATTTTTGATGAACCTACAAAAACAACGATAATTTTTTCACTTCCTACAAAGCTACCTCTTACTTTTGTCCTCAAACTGGTCTTGCAGACGTCGGTTAGGCTCTCCTTATTAATCGCGACTGGTATTTTCACTTTCTCCAACACCTCCAACGCCTTAATTCTAGCCTTGTCGAAACCTTCCGTTAATATCCTGGGATGGAGGCCCTCGGATATGTATAAGTCAGCCTGCTTGAGTAACTCTCCGATGACTAGAACGGTAGATGTTGTGCCATCTCCGGTCATATCGTCTTGAGCAGTACTGGCTCTAGCTATTAGTGAGGCCGTGGGATGCTGAATTTGCATTTCGTGAAGCAGAACGTTACCGTCTTTGGTTATTTTGATGTCTCCAGCGCCAGAAACCAACCTGGGAGAGAAAATAATTACAATGTATGAACGCGAACATTTTTCGAGACGAGGGATATATTATTTAGGTTAAGTTTTCAATTGCCCCAGAAATTAATATTAAATTATGTTTTTGAACGGTGAAAGGTGTTAATAAGAATATTTTCTAAAATATAAATTAAAAGAAATAGATTTTATTAATCTAATTAAGGTACTTCTGAAGAATTTTCGCGAATAACTAGTCATGTGTGCTTACATTTTGACTGTCCCCTTGGGGCCTAGGTTGGATTTCATCACATCCTGAATGCCTTTGGCCGCGGAAATGTTTATTGCCAAGGCCTGGGCTGCTCTGGCTACCTCGGCTTTAGGATTCAACAAGCTTATGGCCATGTTTGTTCACTTTGTAAAATTAAATGAGAAAATCGCTTGATGAAACACCTTTCTTTACCGATACCGGAAACCGACTATTCCTCCTCTTCTTCTTCTAACAAGAACTGCGAACACATCTCGATCTCGAACCTCATATACGAAATTGCATTAGAACAAAATTTTATTACATAAATACGAATCGATTTAACAATTGCTGCATTCAGATGACATATAATCGATTAAGTCAGGGAGTATTCTTTTATATGGAGCCAATCAGAAATTAGGATTGTTTAAACAAACCAATGATATTACAAGGATGAATAAAAGAACACGGCCTAACTTATAGATTCTGTCGGCTGAATGTAGCCAATTTATAAATGACATTATTTTTTCTGTACCACACGTCCATGTTCTATCTTTTAAGAACATGGCGTCGTTGTATATATCTCATATTCTATGATTTTTGTCATTTGTTACATTTCTAAAAATTTTGAAAATTCTGCCATATTCAGATCCACAGAACATAAAAGAATCTATTCATTTCCAATATGGTTGACTTGCTCAAGGTCATTCACAACTACCTCTTAAAATCATATAAACAAATGTATATTTTTAATGATTTATCACACTTCGGTGTATGAATTGAATGAGACAACAGTTTGGATCATGTTCATCATCAGCAGGCGTTTGTACTGCTATATACATATAAAAAATTTTAAATGCATCTGAATTGCGTTATTCAAATTAATTAAATTATTTAATGTTTTCCTGATTTATATTGAACTACAATCAGTCTAAGACACGTTGAAAGTAAACGTGTACAAGAAATCGACTATTACAGCTACCATACTGGGTATTTTTATTATATAAAGTAATTTTTGTTCAGTGTGTATAATAATCCCATGTGGTCGATAATGACCAATTTTCACTATTAATTCTTGCAGAAATATGTACCTAAAAGGAAATCGATGGTGGATAAAACAATAATTTATTTGCTTTATTGAAGACAAACATCGTTTTTAATTTATTTTTAAACAAACTAGAAAATATCTTTAAAAACCATGTATTTATACAAAAATATGAAAATCTAAATTAAAAAATACAAGATAGAAATCAAAAGGTAGAAATAAATATACTGACTAATATAGACAGTCCGAAATATATGAAGTATATAAAAATAACCGATTGATCCCTCGTAACAAACTTAAATCTTAGCGAAATAAATATACAATCTCGAACGCGCCTCGGTGAATATCACTAGAGCTCATCGGAACGCGACGATTTCTGCTCGTCGCGGATCACGGGCTTGAACGTCAAATCGACGTCGTTAAAATAGGGATGAGAAGCGATACGCTTGGCGGAGATACGTTTTGCGGGATTGTAGATCAACATGTGCTTCAGCAGATCGACGCCGTCTTCGTTCAAATGTTTTATCTGCCCCGCCAGGTTGTAATTGGTCCAGTTCGGGAAAGTCGCTTTGTAATCCGGGAGAGACGATACGCCTGGCCATATTTCCTCGTTCGGCGTCTTCAAAACCCTGAAAGACGATTCGAAAATGATTCTCGTCCCCTGTTACGTAATCCCTAAAAGCCATACCTAAATATTCTAAATAGTTGATCGATTTCGGAGTCGCCCTGGAACAACGGCCGTTTGGTGGCCATTTCCGCGAAAATACACCCCAACGACCAGATATCGATGGGGCAAGAGTACCTCGCCGAGCCCAAGAGCACTTCCGGGGCCCTGTACCACAAAGTCACCACTTCGTGAGTGTAGACTCTGACGGGGACACCAAACGCACGCCCCAAACCAAAATCGGCGACCTAAAATTCGTGGAAGTCGATAAATTCATTAAAATAACATCCGGAAACGGTTCTAACCTTAATAACTCCGTCTCTGGTGATGAGCAAATTCTGCGGCTTCAAGTCCCTGTGCAGAACTCTGCGTTGATGGCAGAATAGTATTGCTTCGTTGATTTGGTAGAGATAGCTCTTGACGAGCCTGGGGTCCATGACCTTACCCTGTTCTATTTTGTCTAAATACTTTTTCAGATCCATCGAAAGGAATTCAAATATTAAGTACAATCTAAAAGAGTCGAATGAATGTTACTTACTTCCCAACCTACTACGGGGTTTATAAGAAAAGCAGATTTGTAAATCTTAAACGAAAAATAAATAGTCAAGTAAATATATCAGTAATCGTCGCTGACTCAGTCCATTGGAACACATTTTATTTAATATTTGCTATTCTTGGTTATTTCTCTAAAGAAAGAACAAGTAAATATCAGTTATATATGTGCGTTCTCAATACTGCCAGTGGTTTAGTAACAACCCTTTAAGAAATTTCTTGTGTTTGCGTAATGCGATATATTTATTCATGGCATTTTTTTCTAGTTTTATTCGTTTATTTATTTGCTTTATAAGTCAGTGAATAAAAATATAAAGTTCATCTTGTTAACGTATCAAACAAGTTAATGGTCTATGAAAGTAAACAAGAAACAGCAGTGTTACAGATTTTTATAAATTACTGGCCGTTACTGAGTCAAAGGGGCAACGACAGCTAGATTATTTGCAAATACAACAGCAAAATTAAATGATGAAGGCAACTGTATGATCCCAACAATCAAAATATCTGACGAAAGCTAATTTTGTCAAAATACTTTATAATGTCGCTCAAACTTAAATGTATTTTACATTAACATTATTTTACAATCATTTTAGATAACATTTCAAGGCCTATTTTACAAATAATTAAATTTGTTCTGATCCGTAAATAATTCACAGTAATATTTTGCTTAATTCATTGACAATTAAATCTTTGCGGGCAGCACTTTTTGCCTCAAAAAGCTGAATATAAAAAATATTCAGTCTTATAATTTGTGTCTGTATGTATTTGTGACGTTTTCACAAACAATATTGTACAAAACTACAACATGCGGTTCAGCAACCTCCAAAATAGTGTGTGAAATAATAATTCAAAAACACGAGCGAGGGGAATCGATGAAAACGATTGCTGGCTAAGTGATTATTCCAGAAAAACTATGCACTCTCTGTCATACGACCAAACTCATAAAAAAATGGTTTGGAGACAATGATTAAAGTTTCGAGTTGGCCGTCAAGCAGCCCTGATCTGAATGTCACCGAAATAATTATGACACCATATAAAAAAGCCTTTGCAGGACAACCCCCAAAGGACAATTTATCTCAAAAGGAAAAATCCAAGAGATTTTAGGAATTCTTCATCCCCGAGTTTTATAGATCCTTAGTCGACGCTATGCCAAAGAGAAATCGAGCTTTTAAAATAGCCAAAGGGGGCGGTACAAATTACTAAATTAAAAACAAACTTGTTCGTTCCATGCCTCACCAAATTTCGCAGTTTTTTCTTAATTTTCAATGCAGTTGAACTACTTTTTTCTAAGAAATACAAATCTATTGGCTTTCCTGACTACAGATTTTGTGACAATCATTATTTGTACAATTGAGGCGATTTTGGAAAACTTGGATCAAATTTGTAATAAATAATGTGCACCCGAACAATTAGTTGTTAAAAATAAACTTATTGGTCTTAAATTAAGTTAAATTACTATCAAATATGAAAAATTTTGATCAATAAAAAATATTACCGCTACATCAAGTTTAAAAATTACAAGTAGGAGGAAATTGAAAAAATGTAGAAAAACGAAAGAGGCAAATAACAATTATTAGTAAATAAAGACAGTAAAACAACAACAATACTAGTTGGTATATACAGGGTGATTCACAAATGGTGACCAAAAATGAAACCTCGTATTCTTTGGTGAATTTTAAGGGGAGTATTTCCTATAAAGTTTTTATCTAGGACGCTACGTAAAAAAGATACAGGGTGTTAGAAATCAAAGCAATTAAAGATATTTTTATTTTTTTTAAATAATTTAAAAACTAGTAGTTAAGTGGAATTTGAAATTGGTCCCATTTATGTAAACATTGTCCAAAATCTGAGACCTTTTCCTAAAATTTCCGCCACTGGAGCATGTAAATTTTAGAAAAAGCCTTCAGATTTTGGACAGTGTTTATGGAAATACATGTGCCCAATTTGTGCCCAATTTCAAATTATTTCACTTACTAGTTTTTAAATTATTTAAAAAAATTAAAAATACTTTTTACGTTTAAAACACTATCTTTTTAAAGAAGCGTCCTACATAAAAACATTATAGGAAACGATGCCCTTAAAATTCACGAAACAATGTTTCAATAAAACATTCATTAATTTACTTTAAAAAACTATAATAATTCTAATGCATAGAGTGAAATACACTTAAAAAATTATAACTGATGCAACGTCTATAAAAATTTGTATGTGGCAAAATCAGCAAGACGAACCTGGTATTTTCCTTAACCCGATGATTACTGGTACATTTACCTTACTTGTTAAATATAATTAATGTGTACAGTACTAAATATCTCACAGACCTGCTCACTGTTTCTTACCGGATATTAAAAAATTTAGCAGTAGTGAAATTGTCCATATTCTAAATCTAAAAGTTGCAAAAACGTAATAGGACAGATAAAATTTATATTGTGTACTAAAAACGGCAGGTCTGATGAAGACTAAAAAAACGAAACTGTGCTGGTTAAAATGCTGGGTTATACAATCAAAGAAAGCAGCGTTGACAAATACAACTTACTAATCGTTTCGCCACAAGCGGAAAATTTATTCTTGGGAGTCGGAGTGGACTGAAGCAACAATATACAAGTTATGAGAGTGTATAACGTGTATACACACAATTTTTTTCTTCAGTTTTGAAAAAGTTAGACCTACAGTTTGAATATAACAAATTCGATTAAAACAGATCATTACTCACCTGTTCTCCTCCATCATGACATCCTCCAGCGATACGATATGTGGATGACGCAGTTCTTTCAGTAACGAGATCTCTCTTATTGCGGTAGACGGTATGCCTTCGTCTTCAGATTCCAATCTAATAATACACAATTTTTTTTATACAAATACTTCCAGCAACAGTGAGAAAACTAACCTGATTTTCTTCATTGCAACAAGCTCACCGGTCTTCTTGTTCTTACCCTTGTATACCACCCCATACGTTCCCTCGCCTATCTTTTCTATCTTTAAGAAATCATCCACGTTAACGCCAATTTTATTCGACATTATGGCTTAGTTTACTAGCCACAACTAAAAGAAAAGGCGTATTAGTAAAAACAACTTTACTTTTACAAGAAAATGCTAACATTAACCTATATGCATAACTTGCTTGATCGTTTTTTGAGCCTTCGCGATCAATTCTTGTCAAATTCGCACAAGTAAAAACATAAAAATATAATATTTGATTAACGATTGCCTACTTACTTGTGTTAATTATAAATAAAAACTTTGAAAACTGTTACAATAAACGTAAACTTCTAACGAACTTTTAAAACAAACCAAAATGGAGGGACATCCTCTGTTCGAATTCTGGCCAATCGGGCTCTCGCCAACCTATGAAGTTGACCTACTTAACCGGGACCGCAGATTCGTCAAAAAGTTAGACGTGTTCTTTGAAATGATAGGTTAGCGGTATACGTGAGGCCACAGCCAGCCAATAAGAAAATGTTAAAAAAGGATGGGTACAGTTGTAGGTTATTTCAATAAATATGTAACTACGTATGCAACCAACATAACAACTACGTGTAACTACAGTTGCATAGGTTAATAAAGGTTATTTTACGGGGGCTATTTTCAAAAGTATATTTTTGGGAATATAAATCTAACAATGCCAAAGTTGAATATTCTCTTTTCCAATAATGTATCACTGACATTATTATTAATAATTTCAGCATTGTATATATTGCATTAATCACATACTCATCTTAAAAAACAGAAAAATTTAATTTGTATAAAAATACATTTAAAAAAAATAAACATATACAACTATTCCCGCGACAATTCTTCTTGCATTTTATCAAAATTCTTCTGCAAATCATGAGGTACTTCGATTTCTTTCAAGTTTTCTTCACCAATCTCTTCCTCAGTCCTAAAATTAAAAAAAAAAAAATTCTCATTGTTTAAAAAAATTTATAACGGTACCTTATCAATATATCTACCAAATTCTCACACGCGGCCAACGCCTTTTTATCCTTCTCCCACTTATGCAGCTCCCTTAAAATAACGTACGTATTTTTATCCCTAATATATTCCCTATTAGGTCTCTTTGCCACAAGTTGTGTTAAAGCTTCAAGTAAAATGCACCTGAAATAACGATATTAAAATTAACGCCCTCTATTTCGTAAATAATACCTTATATCGGGATCTTCCTCCCTCGTTTTACTCTCGGGCAAAAACTGCAGCTCTAACGGCAACTTATCGTTGTCCTCCTCGTCAAATTCTTCGTTACCGGCAAGGGGCAAAAGAAGCCGCGGCAAAATGTCCACTTCGCCGCTAAGCAGCCACTCGTGAAAGTCCATTTCAAAGCAACAGTTCTTCAACGTGCCTACGATCCCACCTCTCCGCACCAACGAGTCTTTATATTCCGTGAACGGAAGAAGTCGCTGTATCACGCACTTGTTCCTATCTAAGACTTGCATCCTAACTCGATGGCTCTGCGATAAATTCGACAGCACTGGCCCCAGATAATGCAACTTGGCATTATTTTTATTGTACTGGTTCTTGGTGAACACGTTTATGAGTCCTTCAAAAGATTTGTCGCTTTTTTCGATAACGTCAATAACCGTTTCTATCAGATGAGAGGGCCGGGTCAAGTTCGACAAGATCATACAGCAATGATCGGCAATGCAGCTTCCAGGATCAAAAATATTTTTCAGGGCCTGACACACAATGTTTCCCGGTGGTGTCTGTAGAGGCGGACAATCTTTGGTGACATCTACGTTTATCAGGGCCACTGCGCCTTTTTCATTTGCCGAAATGTTGATTAAACACAAACTGGCGTCTTTCGCAATGGGTACACTCGTGTCATCCAGAAGGGATATGAGTGATACAAGTATCTGTGACACTTCAATTATCGTTGTTAAACCATCCTCTGTTCCGGTTAAACCTAGGAATGTATGTTAAAATAAAAGCATTTCATTTTCATAGTACTCACCTAATAAATGCTCTAACGCTGCAGCTTTTAAATCTAATCTTGCTCCTACTTGGATAAATTTGGCTAATTCTGTTAAAGCTTCCATCGTCATTGTATTCAATTAACGCAAATTCAACATGTTTTAGAAGTTGACATGACATTCATAACCTCACAAAATATTTCCAAATTCTTGAATTCTTCTTCCTCCACTACACATCCCTGTGAACTTATAGGTAGTAGGTACTTTGGCTTTCAATAATTTTAACTTTTTTTACACTCATTTTTCTCAAGAAAAACATTTATTTATTTACAAACAAATTATTTGTTATTTATAAATAAATGCAAGTACTATTTTACTCGTCTTTACTTGTGTTTTAAATTTTATTTATTATTCTTGGCAGTGATTTGAACCAATGTAAATTCTTAGTCTTGATAAATTTGATTGTTAAAAAAAATAAATCAAAATGAACTTGAGGTTATATAGTTACAATAAATGTCTATTTTTGACGTAAATATCGATTAAACCTATATAATTACCTAATTAAATCCATCTACGATCGTTTTATAATGGAATGTCCAGTTTTTAAATTCTTAAAGTCGCCACTGCATATACAGATGAGTGATATGAGTGATGAGTGGTAACCCTTCCAATAAATCACAAAGTGACATTGTGAAACAATCTGATTTAGAAGAGACCCGTCAAAATGGGAAGAAAATGTGCAGTGCCACACTGCTATACAGGGTATCGTAAATGTAAAGAAAAGGCCTCGCTATATCGTGTACCAGACGATGATTTCTTCTTAAGTAAGTGGCAAGAGGCCATAGCTCGAGAAGACAGACCTATTACCCCGAAAGACTACGTTTGTGAGAAACACTTCAAGGACGATGATATACTACGAAGACGAATAATAAAAGACGTCGTAGTAAGTAGTTCTTGGCATAACCCAGCTTGTAAACGGCTCGTAGTCACTTTAATTCATTTTGTAGGAGGAATATCAAAGACCTAGGTTGAAACCTGACGCTATTCCCTCTATATTTCCTGACCTGCCTGAATTTATACTAAAGATGGTGAAAAAACGCAGAAAAATGCCGTTGGAGGATTTAACAACAGCTGAAACATGCGATTCTTGGAAAAACAAGTCTGACAATGAAACCGCTGGAGAAAACATTATCGAACAAAATTTTATGGTGCAGGAAATTAAGACGGAATCACCGGAAAGTAACGAAACTGACAATATAGTTAGTACGATGTGTGAGACTATTTTGAGCAATGAGCTTGATATAAAAAGTGAACCAGAAGAGCGCACTGACAACTCCACGGAAAACGATGAAGATAACGAAAATGATGACGCCACTTTTGGGTACCGTTTATATCGAGTATGTTTGCAACGATTTATATTACCGTGACTTATTTTTTAGGCCCAAGATGCACCATTGCGACCAGTGCGATTATCAAACGAAATATCCGCACAACCTCAGGACTCACAAAACTAAACACCTAACTGGGGATGAGGCGTACATGCATTGCGAGCATTGCCCAAATTTCAAAACGAAATGGGAACTGACGTACCGCAACCACCTAAAGATCAAACATGGGTTGGGCAAGCAAGAAGTCTTCAAATGCAGTGTATGCTCTTTCGAAACAAAGGTAAAACTGTGCTTGAAGAGACATACGGAACGACACCAAAGAGACATTCCCCCGAAAATATCAAATGACCTTATTGGAAGCAATTTTAACGAAACGTCTACTGAAAATTCTAAAAACTTCAAATGTACCGAATGCTTCTACGAGACGAACTCGAAGACCCACATCATCAGGCACATCAAAACTGCACACAACACCGGCGATGATACGGTCGTGTTTGTAAATAAACTACAGTCGAACCCAGGAGTCAAGCCCCTGTACAAGTGTTTAAAATGCAGTTATAAATCCAAAACAAACAGGAGTTTGCTGAAACACATCCTCAAACATAAATATCCGAAACCGACGACCGATCAACCGAAATCTAACGTATGGAAATGCCCGAAGTGCCCTTTTGCCACGTTTTTCCAACATGCCTTGCGAAAACATCAAGAAACTGATTGCGGGCGTTTGTTCGTGTGTAAAGAATGTAAGTTTAAAACGAACTGTAAGCCTGATTTTATCAAACACTCGCTTACGCATGGGAACATTAGCTTGGAATCTGTAGACCAAGGATTTCTTGGAACGGCGGAACAAAGTGGAGATGGGGGTGAAACAGAGAGTCGGTTGGAAGGGACAGGAAGTGAAATGTTGTGGAAAAATGAAGGAAATAAAGTAAACGCGGTGCCAGAGTTTGTTGCAGTTAAAACCGAGATCTCCGATGTAGAATAAGTTGTTTTTATATAAAAAAGTTTATGTGTTATATAGAGTATTTATTTTTGTTTTATGTTTTTCCATTTTAGATGTCTATTAAAACGTACACAAATATGTTTTGTTCCTTTAGAGCCATGCAAAACACATATTTCGTTGGAATTTAACGGTCGTCAAATTCTTTACACGAGGCCTCGCCCGTAGATCGCGTGTGAAGAATTTGTTAGAAAAGTCATTGGATTTCGCGATTCAAGTCAATTAGCTCCGGCACTTCGACGGTGAAAACCCGTCAAAACGAAGTTTTTGCCTTTATTTTATTTCGGTATTAAGGAATACCGGGTGATCAGTTGTTGAGGTGCAACTCCAACAAGTTGGTTGCAAAATAATTCCATAAACTTCCTCAAGTCTTATTTTCCCTTTAAAAAATTTCAGCACTTCATAATTTTTATTGCAGACAAATAAAAGAATTTGCAGTGTAATTTTCATTACATTTAAATATCTTATGCCCAACATCGTAAATAAAAAGAACCGAGACCGCGTAAATCAGCAAACCGACTAGAAGGTGCGTCGTCAATGTTGGTTATCGGAGGTGTTCCCTGCTGTCTTAGGCAGGTGACTTTAGTGATGGCCCTGTCACCTGGGCCTCCGACGGGTCATAGGTTTGCACACAGGATTAAAACATAAATTCAATTTCAGGGCGACAATTTTTTTAAAGGTGCATATTTTCGGGAAAAAAATATACAGTGAAAGTTCCCTTCGCAGACACCATTCTTACATTCTCTAGAACGGACGCGGACACAAGAAAATATTCTCTTAAACGAACAAAAAAATAAAATAAAAAGGAAACAGTTAAAAATTGCCTCCGTAAAGCAGGCTTTAACGATGAAAATATGCAAAGTGAAGATCAGTTAACTGAGGATGTTACATCTGATCCAAAAATAAGAATTTGTTGGAATTGACTGATAACGAAAACCTTAATGATTTTTTGAACCTAGATGAAAATTTGTATGCTGAAGATCAAGATTTAGGACCAGAAATTGAAAATCCAGTTGAAATACTAGAAGATTCTGATCTCGATGAAGTTGCAGTATCAACAGACGCTATCCCAAATTATGGTGAAGCTATTATCCTAATCAATCAGATTAAACATTTTGCCGAAGATCACGGAGATAGAGTCTTTGGAGCTGCTTTCCAAATTTTAAAGAAAAAAAGGAGACAAACGACAATATATGAATTTTTGCGTCATTAAAGTGATATTTCATTTCATTTTATGTATTACTATATTCTATTATAATTTGTATATATTTTGTAAGGTAACAAATTCTGATTTTTTCCTTAACTTTTAAGTTTTTTATTTATTTTAAAAATATTTACGTACGTATATGTTTTAAATGTCCCAATTTCTTTAATTACGGTTTTCATTAAAAAAATAATTTTTTTTTTCGTATTTCTTTTAGGTGGACACCCCTCTTAAAGGGACACTTTCAGTCGGACCCGTTGGTGTCCGCCCAAGGGGGATTTCACTGTATTCAGATATGCAACAACTTGATAACATAAAATCGAAGACATGTCACCCAACGTAAGGCGAAGAAGCTACAAAATAATAATCATAGCATTACGAATCGACGACAAAACATTTGAAAAAATTGTGATGCAATTTTTTTAAATTAACGAAGCTTTATCGGTATCGTTTGTTATTTGAAAAATGCCGAGAACTTCTTTAACAAAATTATTTTGGACAATCGGCTCTTTACTAACTTCAAATATGAATATCTTGGATTTATACACTGGGACGTTAAAATAACGTGACAAGTTCCTATAAAGATTTTTCCTAGATAACAAATAAGACTCCTTAGAAATTGACCCATGAAAACAATTTGGCTTATTTGGTTTGCCAGGGACGGACTAGCTGTAGCACAATAATGTCAATTTTTTTTACACCCTTTTCGATAAAGGCACAAAAATAATATTTTTAGATAGCTTGAACCTTGAAACTAAAAAAAGGACTCTTGGTTGATATCAATAAAATGAACTGTTTTCGAGAAACAACTATTTTTGTTTAATACGATTTTTATTACATCCATAAAGAGAAATAAACCGATCAAATTTGCATTCTTTCTGTGCCTATCTAAAAAATTTATTTATTAATTTTTTTTTAAATAATTAAATTACATAAAGTATTTTAAGTTATTAAAAAAAATAGATTTTCAGGGGTGTCATTTAGGGGCCTATAACTACTATGGAAAATTTTTATAGGAATTTGTCATGTTATTTTAACGTCCCCTGTGTAAATCCGAGAGACTGCCCACATATTCTGGGACATCCTGTATACAAAAATAAAATTCAAAAACAAAATCGAGTCCTTTTAACCCTTTCACTGCTCCAGACAAATTTATTCGCTAAAAATTTATAGGACTCGAACTGCTTGAAACAAATTAATTCGTTTGAATAGTTAAATTGGATCAGCCTGCTCAAACCGTATATATTCGCAACCATGCGCATTAGTGACTCGGTCGTTACAATTGGTATAGGGAATTTTTCCGGGCAGAGCTTATAGCGATTGTTGCAATTACTTTTATGGAAGGAGGTACTGGTAATAATGCCAAGATTGTTCGTCTCTTTTTCAGTTTCTATTTAGCACAGCTGTCGATATATTGTATTTTATTTAAAATAAAATCGTAAAAATATCTAGAAAATTGACAAAGAAATTTTAGCGAGGAGCGATAGCGGCGACTTTGGTAGCTACGTTCTCTTCTCCTTCTACGATTGCTTTACTAACCTTGAGCATTCTTGCTACAATTCTCGTTTTCCAAATTTCCCGGGCCCTTGAAATGTTTAATCACCTTTTGACTCACCTTTATTTAAATTCGAGGAAAAGAGGATCTTTTTGTGTTTAAAATCGAAGGAAAAGAAAACAAGTTTATTGTACACAATCACAAAAACAAAATTCATAATATTGCATCTTACATAAATATCTATACATTATACCTAAATTGTTCATATAACATTGAATTAAAAATATATATGTATATTATATAATAAAAACAAAAAGTAGGCTATGAATGTGGAAATGGAATGTATAACGTTACAGTATTTTATTTATACATACAGTATCCTATATATTAAAATACATGCTATATTATTCGAACTTTATAGAGGCCTAGCATACAGGAACCTGACGACGTCGAATAAAAAAAAAAAGTAAACTAAAAACGGTCAACGCTTTTTCTACGAATAAAAAGTTTTTAGACGGTATAAAGGAACGTTACTTCTTGGAATGTAATTTTTTAAACTAAAACAAATTGCCCCGCAAAGCTCCTGTACAGAATACCTCGAATATTACACACAGATTGGACGGACACAAGTTTTAAGTACATAACGAAAAATATATTACTTCCAATTCGCTATTTGTGACGTATTTGGGATTAAAATTACTTAACCCGACAAATTATTAAAATAAAGAATTATAAAAGGAAACCGCGGAGGTCCTCTCCGCGCTTCAGTACGCTGTTCACTGGTTCAGTTAAACAATCGGAGTATACATATAAACTCTATAAATTTACCTATTAGTCTATACACTTTGTTATAGTATCTCACGAACTAACATTACATGAGGAAAAAGTGTATCGATGGCCTACACGATACTTCCTCCTATAATTTCGATAGCTTGTATTGCTCTCAATAAATTTAAAATACTACAGTATGTGCAAGATGACATTTAAAAAATAAATAATAAATCCTAATTACAGATCTAGATATATTTAGGTACTTTATTCTTTTTAAAAAATAACTATATAAAACAAAAAAAAATATACAGCTCCTCCTCTGACTATACATTTAAGAGTATTTGCGTAGAGAACGTAATGTACAAAGAGATGATGTCATGTTTTTTTAAAACACTTTTGTTCTTAAAATAATCAGTAAATCGAAAAAAAAAATGTTATGCAGTAAGTGTAATTGTATTACTCATCACAGTATCTGAAAAAATAAAAGTTGTATTCTATAAAGTCCAGTCCCAGTTTCGAGGCTGACAATTTACAAGTGTTCTGGAAAAACAAATATTTCTTTGTAGTAGTTCTAACGTACCGAGGACGCAACGAATAGAGTTTAAAGACAAGCGACACGTAACAACCAGACGCAGTATTTTAATGTGCAGCAACGCAATAATATTAATAGAAATGCTAAATAAAAAAAAATTAAAAACACTTATCTGATAAAGTTCAGGCTTCGGACAGTTACAATGTTTATCATACAATTTTCGGGACCTAACAAACAATTCTTTTGTGCAAAAATACACAAATAACAAAGTAATAAAAAATTCACAAATAAATAACTACTTACAATATTTAGTAAATTACTCAAACGACAACCGAGTATACAATTCTGTTACAAGCCCTGTGTCCCAAACCTTGGCAATAAGCAAAGTGTAAAGCACATATAAATAAAGTACATAGAAAGCACCATAAACGCCTACTCAAACTTTTAAGAGATGTAGAAATATGTATTAAAACAAATAAATAAAAAAAGTAGTTGTAAAGCTAAAAACAGCAATGCAAAGCAGTAGTTCAAACGTACCGAACCCCAAAAATATTCAGTTCAAATATCCAGTAGTTCTCTACAACTTTTCATATAACATGCTAGAGAATTAGATGAGTGAACACAGTATACAACTTAGTTACGAGGCCTGTATCCTGAATCTTGGCAATAAGCCAGATGTACTAAATACCTCTTCAAGCTTTTAAGATATGTGGAAATATGCATTAAAACAACTATATAATAAAAAGTAAGATAAAAAAGTTGTTGTAAAGCTAAAAACAGCAGTGCAAAGCAGTAGCTCAAACGTACCGAACCCTAAAAATAATTAGTTCAAATATCTAATACTGCTCTGCTAATACCATTTTATAGAAAATGATACATAATTAGGTGAGTGAACACAATATACTCTGTTACGAATCCTGTTTTTGAACTTTGGCAATAAGCAAAGTGTAAAGCGCACATAAAGTACATAGAAAACGCCATAAACATCTCTTCAAGCTTTTAAGAGATGTAAAAATATGTATTAATATGACTAAATCATAAAAAGTAAGATAAAAAAGTAGTTGTAAAGCTAAAAGCAACAAAAACAGCAAGGCAAAGCAGTAGTTCAAATGTACTGGAGCCGAAAATAGCTTAGTTAGTTCAAATATCTAGTAGTTCTCTACAACTTTTCATAGAAAATGCTAGACAATTAGATGAGTGAACACAGTATACAACTCGATTTAAAACTCAGTTACGAGGCCTATGTCCTGAATCTTGGCAACAAGCAAAGTGTACATAAACACCTCTTCAAGCTTTTAAGAGATGTGGAAATACGTATAAAACATGTATTATGTATTAAAACAACTAAAAAGATAAAAAAGTAGTTGAAAAGCTAAAAACAGCAATGCAAAGTAGTAGTTCAAATGTACCGGGGCCCAAAATAGGTTAGTTAGTTCAAATATCTAGTAGTTCCCTATAATTTTTCATGGCAGATGCTAGACAATTAGGTAAGTGAATACAGTATACAACTCTGTTATGAGCCCCGTGACCTGAACTCTAGCAATAAGAAAACTCTAAAGCGCGCACAATGTGCAAGGCACCATAAACATTCCTTGAACATTCAAGATAAGCAGAATTGTGTGTTAAAAGACAAATGTAAGACAACAAAAACAGCAAGGCAAAACAGTAGTTCAAATGTAATGGAGCCGAAAATAGCTTAGTTAGTTCAAATACCTAGTAGTTCTCTACAATTTTTCACGGTAGATGCTAGACAATTAGGTAAGTGAACACAGTATAAAACTCTGTTACGAGCCCTGTGTCCTGAACTCTAGCAATAAGAAAAGTGTAAAGCACACACAATGTGCAAGGCGCCATAAACATTCTTCGAACTTTCAAGAGACAGAAACGTGTGTTAAAGAACAAAAGTAAGACAAAAAAGCAGTCGTAACACTAAAAAAGGCAAGGCAAAGCAGTAGTTCAAATGTACTGGAGCCGAAAATAGCTCAGTTAGTTCAGATATATAGTAGTTCTCTACAATTTTTCATGGCAGATGTGAAACAATTAGGTAAGTGAAAACAGCTCTATTACGAGCCCTGTGACTTGAACTCTAGCAATAAAAAAAGAGTAAAACGCACACAATGTGCAAGACACCATAAACATTCTTGCAACTTTCGAGAGATGCAGAAACGTGTGTTAAAGGACAAAAGTAAGACAAAAAAGCAGTCGCAACACTAAAAAAGGTAAGGCAAAGCAGTAGTTCAAATGTACTGGAGCCGAAAATAGCTTAGTTAGTTCAAATATCTAGTAGTTCCCTACAATTTTTCATGGCAGATGCTAGACAATTAGGTGACTGAACCCAGTATACAATTCTGGTACGAGCCCTGTGTCCTGAACTCTAGCAATTAGTAAAGTGTAAAGCGCACACAATGTGCAAAGCACCGTAAACATTTTTTGAACTTTCAAGAGATGCAGAGACGTGCGTTAAAAGACAAAAGTAAGACAAAAAAGCAGTCATAACACTAAAAACGGAAAGGCAAAGCAGTAGTTCAAACGTACCGCAGCCCAAAACAAGTCAGTTAGTTCAAGCTTTCCATCCAACAACGCCGATTGAGGGCTTACCTGGTTCTGCCGGAGGGGGGCCCTGTAGGTCATCACCTTCAACTGGAAATCGGCCATGTCCACCTCGAAAATGACGCTCTGGAGGCTCAGCAGCTGACTCGAACTGTTCTCGTTGACCTTGTGCCTTATCCTAGACTTGTCGTCGTAGCCCATCGGACCGAAATTGCACTCGTACTGCCTATAGTCGCTGTCGCAATACTCGATTTCTTTTATGTTCGGCTGAATGGACCTGGAAGTAAGACGGTTTTAAAAAAGGAAAACCGACGGAAGCGGAGACGTTTCACCTAAAAATTAAATTGATGAACTCGTCCGGCATGTACTTGGAGATGGGGACGGCGTAGGAGAAGTTGGACTGCGGGTTCGTACTGAACTTCCTGTACTGGTGCGTCAGGGTGGTGTTGAAGTGCCGCCCCTGCACTGTTATGGTGAAAATTTGATCCTCTAAAACTGAAACTGGGTAACCACAAACACGAAACTTTTCCCGATATACGTTACCTCCGGTGTCGAACGAGTTGGCCTCATCCGTCAGGTCGTCGGCGTGCCTCCGCTGCCTGATCTGCTTGTCGATGTCGTTCGAGTGGAACGGTTTGGCTATCTTGTTCTTCTCCACGTTCAGCAGGGGCGTCGTTTTGTTTCTGCTCGCGCTGGGAGGTTTCTTCTCTGAAAATAAAGATGTCGTGGGCTCCTGCGGCGCCGGGTTCTGGGACAAGCTCTGGCAGCAGTATATCTGAAAGAAATTACAGCGTAAACGAGTAACGACCAAAATGTTATAACAAGCTCACCTGGCACAAACTCGTACTATCAAGGTCCTGATCGACGGAGAGGCATTCCAATGGCCTGCCGATGCTGAACGACGAGGGCCGTCTCATGATGTTCGAGTCCAGGGTGATCTTCGTGATTTCTGCGACGAAAGAAAAAAATTATACACGGGAAAATTTTACGCGATAATGTCACTTACCGTCTTCTTTGTACGAGTTCGTCGTCTGCAAAGGAGGCAAGGTGGGGGCCCAGGTGACTTTCGTGTTGGCGGATTTTGTTGTAGTTTTCTCGTCGAAGTTCCTGTAAGTCGCGTCGATGTTGGCCTGCATGTACTGGGAGTGTCGGGCGGCTTCCATCAGGTACAGTGTGGTGATGGCGGCTAAACTAAATATAAGAAAAATTGCTCCGAGTAAAAAAAAATAAAAAAATTCCTGTACTTACCAAAAAGCCATGATTAGTACCAAAACAACTATAACGATTTGTATTAGTTTATTTGAGCAGAGTTCCTCTTCCTTCTGACAGGAGTGGTGGTGTTTGGAACACTTGTGCGAGTAGGACAGTTTGGAACTGTTAACTGAAACAAAAAAAAAAGGTTTGGGTTTGGGGCGAGGTTTTTTTTTTAGAACGTTTACCAGTGCTCGTAGATTTGAGGCTGTCACCCCTCTTCAACCTGTTCAACCTTCGGTTTATTCGCTCCAACTGGTCTATCCTTGTCTCTAGATTATCCGTTACTTTGCACAGCTCCTTCACGGCCCCTATGTTTTCCATGAATATCCTTTCCTAATGTGAAAAAATAACGGTAATATACATAATAGAAATATAATAGAAACAAGCATGTAAATATTTCTCTGGAAGTGTGTTAATTTGTAGCAGCATGGTTGAAATTTTATGAGTCTACCTTTTCACAGAATACATTGGTTACCAAACAGTATTGAAAAAATACTGCATCGGGATATTTCATAAAAAGGGTATGTTCTTATGTTTTCCATGATTATCCTTTTTCTATGTGAAAATTAGAAAAATAAAAATAATAAAAGTAAATAAATCTGTCCTCAAAATGTCAATTTTGAGCAAGAACAGAGGCGGCAATACCCGATGTTAAATTGTGATTCAAATCAACAAAATTTTTTTGGCGTTTGTGAAGCTTGCAGATATTTAAAAAAAAAAATTCAGTTTTTTTAGACTCATCATTTTTAGATGAAGAAAATATAGATTATTGCTAAAAAAAACATTTTTAACTTTAAAAAATCAATAAAAAGTGAAAAATTACTTATTACATTGATTTTTAGCAAAAACGACAAATTTAAACATTCCAGGCACTAAGAAAAAAAAAATCGCAGCGTTTTGAAATTATCAGGATTTCTTTTGGACACTTTGAGGTTGAAAAGTTAGTCAGTATCCTTAATTTATTCATTATTTGCAAAGTTATGCCAAGTTATTCAAATATCCCTAATTATGCAATTTTTTACCTTTTTTTCTAACCAACATTTTCACTTCGAAAAAATTTGTTTTATCAAAAACCTATAATTAGGACTTGTAGAGAATACTTTGCATTTTTCAAAATCCTGCTTGGATTTCTGTACGACCATTATTTCCCGAGTAATTGAGTCAAAAATGATTTTTTTTTGCTTTGATCGACGATAACTCAGCGACGAATCATCGTACAAGGCTTTGGAACCGCTTAAATTGAAGAGAATTAAATTATCTAAAAGAGCTTTATGGTGAAATTACAAAAAAAAAACATTTTTTGAAGTACATAGGTCTTTTTAAAGAAAAGCAAAAATTTGCAATTTTTTTTTTGTTGATTTTCTTATGGTTACTCAAAAACTGCTGATGATAAAAAATTTTACACTCCAGGTCTGAAAACTAGACACCTGAAGCTTCAATTTCCTTTTTTTTTTAAATTCTCTCTATGACCATTTCCCTCCAAGTTACAGCTCTTTGAAAATTGTCCAAAATTTTGGGATTTTTTTAATATCCCTTAATTTCTATGCCTAGTGTATTTAGACAAACTGTGTAATAAAATCTACAAAAATGTATTGCTGATTGCCTATTTGCCATAGTTTCGTAAAAAGATGTTTGTTCTTCCTATGTTTTCCATAAATCGACACTTGAATACGAAAATGAAATTAACGTTGAAAACAACAAAAATTAACGTGTCGGTCTGTTCTCAAAAAATGAATACATTTTTATCGCAAAATCTTAAGATACAAAACTTGGATAAAATAATTCACCAAGGTGTTGCCTAACAAGGTGTGCTTGTTGTTGCTCAGTTCTGTATTTAAAATTTTTTTTATCATGTTTCAAATTCAATGTAACATATTTTGTTTACAAATACAATATTTCAAATTGCAATTGAATTATTCAAAACCGTCAAAAAAAAAACTGCCTTACCTTATTTACAACTAAGAAATTCTCTATCGAAATCCCGTTCTCCAAGAGGAGGTTCCCAGCGGGTTTAACGGCTTCCGGAAGCACCTGAGCCACTTCCTGGGCTATGACCCCCGTATCGGTACACTGATCGCCTCTACTCAGCTGAGACGCCAACGCCGGCTCGTATTCGTACCTATTTCGAAACGCACGATAAAATTCTTCCGTTCCGATAAAAAAAAATTGCAATTCTTACCTGACGACCCGCAATTTTTGTACGTTTTTCAGCTGCTCGGCGGTATTGCACTCCACGATGTTCTTCTTCGCCCTGATGTCGCTCGGTTGGATGATGTGCCCCGTTATTTTTATATTCCCGTGGACGACGAGCGACTCGTCCGGCCTGTCGGTGTTTATTCCCACCCTACCGTTGTGCACAATCGAGTCCTACAAAAAATTAATCAAAAGTAAAGATTTTTCCTTGGAAATACAATCTCGGACAAAAAAATGTCTTCCAACTTAAAACGTTTATAGTCCAAATCCAAAATAGTAGGTAATAGTTGATTTATTCAGAACATGTAGACTGTGCGATGCGTAAGATGTTTTAGAGGGCTTCAAAAATTGTGAAATATGGAAGAAAACTAGATTAAATTCTTCTAAACTGCATAAAACAATTTGGCTGCCTTTAGACTCTAGACTCGTTCATCTTCTCAATCGCACTAAATGACATCACGAATTAGCGCGGCAGCAAACAAATTACAAATTTCTATACACCCAAAAGTTATTTGAGTTTCAAACCGAGTTGATTTTATAGAAAATCTGCGTTAAAATGGGGGAAAGGCTGTTATTTGTGCATAAATTCATTTTTAGACAAACTGTGTAAGAAAATCTCTAAAAATGTATTGCTGGTTGCCTAGTTGCTACAGAGCCCTCTTAAGTCAGAACCTTTTATTGTCCGCAGCTGTACCTTGTAAAGCTAAAATCGGGGGTAAAACCACAATCATTATTTAAAGTGTTCACTTGTACGAACCTGAGTTTGTCCTTTCTGCCAGCACAGTTCCACGTCGCTCTCAAACTGTCCCGGGTTGGAGGCCTATGATCAACAAAAAGTTACGAAACCTATTTTTTTTTAGTCGCTTTCATTGCCACATACCCTAACGATGATTTTCTGACTCGCATGGCTTATGACGGGGAAATTTCCGTTCGTCGTGTGAGCGTGAAGTCCCACAACAAGCTGAAAACGTTTAAAATCAACAAAAAAAATTGAAGCGCAAATCAAACGTACCTGGAAATATCTCTGTTCCGGGTTCGGCTTGCCCTTTTTTCTCATGTTATTCGAGGTGGTCTCGCTGAAATGCAGCCTACCAACCGTCACTTTGGTAACTTGCGAATTTACCAGTTCTACCCTAAAAAACGGAGAACGTTTTGGAACATTTCAACGTACTTCGAACCGAATACTTACAATACAGGATGGAAAGGCTTTTTACTCCTATCGCTCTGGCTCTGTTCCACCCTTATCGTCTGCGTGGGGCAGTCGTGTTTGACACCGTAAAAATGCAGGTGGAAGCTGGATATCTTCTGGAAACCCTCGGGAGTTTTAACAAACTGAGCTTCGCCCAGCAACTGTACATGGCAAGTAATCTGAAAGTGGTTCTTCTTCTGGCAAACAAAGGCGTCGTCCGCGTTGGAAAAATTAAACCCCTTGTCGGCGTCCACCCTGTAGTGCGGCACGGGCCTGAAATATTCCCTTGTTACACCCTTACATCGACTTAAAAAAATTCATCACTCACAATTCCGTAAAGTTCTGATCGCACAACGAGTGCCAGTTCGTCTGTTGGAAGGCACTAAATCTAATACACTGGTACTGGGATTCCGAGAGGCAGGCCTCGGACGAAGCGTACTCTTCGTCTATAGACGTAGTTAATTGTTCGGACGGGCTCAGTTGGCTTGTAGCGCAATTCTCTGCGGAAAAAATTTCAAATGATACCGCCTTTCCGAAAAACGCCTTGGCGAAAAAATTAGATGGGATCACCTTTCCGAGAAACACCTTGGCGCGACCAAGGCGTTTCGCGCAAAGGTGGGTTCGTTCGAATGACCTCACCTGGCTCACTCTTCACCAAAGGCGAGTCCTGCGACAGCTTCCTCTTCTTGGAAGCAGACTGCAGGTTCGTGTAAACCCCCGGGATGCTCTCCAAGCTCTGCTCGCATATATTATTTTCCATGTTCGCCCTCTGCAAATTCTCTATGTTGTGATTGTAGCCGAGGTGCACCATGTTTTTTTCGTAGTCCTCGTTCTTATAAATGCCCCTGTCGAAATTCTGTGCGGGTTCCGTGGCGGGCAGTATTATCTGCCGAGTATTGTCTGAAATAAAAATTTTCAACATCAACCGACGGCCTTTAGACCGGCCAGACCCGATCCTACGTACCAGCAACGTTATTTTCGGGTAAAATCATCCTATCCTGGAGGATCCCTGGGTCATCTTGGATAATCCTGTTGCTTAAGATCGTAGTACCGTTTCCCCCTACGAGAAGCCGGTTATCCTGGAGGATGTTCCCGTTGTCGAGGATCTGCTGGTCGCTGGACTGGTCCGTGACGACGATGTGGGAGCCCAGTATCAGGTTGTCGGTCAGGATGGGGCTGAGGATGGCGGGTTTGTAGATGCCTTGCGTGAGATTCGTGTATATCGACTCCGGAGCTGCTATGGGGGCCTCGCAGCCGTCCTGGGGGCTGTACGGGTGCTCCGAGCTGCTGTCTGGCGGGCTCTCGGGTAAGGAGTGGCTGGTAGAAGAAGATTGTCATAAGCTTAATGGCTATATTGTCATGACGACCTTAATTTTTTACTAGAAATTGTCAACATATTTATTTAAAAAAATTAAAAACTACCTTTTGGGCACCTTCTTTAAGCGGCTATATCTTCACAGGAGATGTTCAAATGAGATTTTTTTTATATGAAATACCACTTATTTTTCCACAAGAAATCACCCCCTCAATTTTTTTGCACTAATCTGATTTTGACGACTTTTTTTTGTCCGATTAAATGGGTCTCTAAATCGCAATTTTGGTCAACTTGCTTGAATTTTTGATATAACTATTAGTTTGAGGTGTATGTATAATAACAATAAGTGACAGTAATTTTTATTTCAACCCCCGATCAGGGGTGAAAAAAGGTAAAATTAAGGAGTTTTTCAAGATAACTGAAAAGGGGTAAGAGCTAGAAAAAAGGTTCTTATAAAAGCTGTAGAGCATAAAATTCTACATAAAAATGGTATATTTACTTTTTCTTGTATGTACTATTAAATTTAACAAAGTTAGAGAGGCTAGAACTTAAGGGATGATTTCAGAATTTAAAACAAGCAGAAAGTGAATGAATTTTATAAAAAAATTTTCAATCTACTCAAAAAAAAATGTAAACTATTTTTTCAGAGAAATAGATATATTTTTTAATAAAAAAGTTATAACAATTTCCCAAAGCAAACGTGATTTTTTATCTTTGTCGTAAAACAAAATTTCGAAGGTAACTTTTCATTATTTTAAATAAAAAAAATTGTCTTAGTGTTAAATCATAAAAATTCACGATTAAAAAATTGAAATTGTTATAAATTATTTATTAAAAATTTAAAAAAATTGAAAAAAAAATACTGTCACATATTGTTATTGTTATACCTCAAACTAACTTATATAAAAAATTTAGGCAAGTTGACCAAATTGCGATTTAAATTTTCTTATTTGTGGAAGAAGTGGATCTTATTTGTGGAAGGGCGAAATGGGCGGTGACTATTAGACGCCTTCATTATAGCCATCTTTCTCTATCGCACGGATTTCTATGACTTTTTTTATCGCTCTCACGTAACGGCCGATGAACCATGGGGACTTTTCGACCCTGTATATGCTCGTCCGTAGTGTACTTGCGACTTCCCGGGCAATAAAAATTCGCAGACAGCATTGGCTGCACTTTCTATTTGAAAATCACTCATTTAGAAATAATAAAAATTGCAATTTTTATGTAGCTTTGTTTATGAACACCTTAGAAACGGCAAAATCCAAACAACCAAGGCGACTTTGCATGATTTCGAATAATGTTAAAATGAATTGATTAAGAAATGTCAAAAAAATAAAACCTAATCTTTATTTCATGGACCATAAAGAACTGTGGGAGCAGATAAAATGTTATACACCACGCAGCAGTTAAGTATAATTTACCGGTCTCGGACTCTATTGCCAGACCTCGCTCCGCTCGGGCGCAAAATCGTCCTCGACTGGTAAATAATACTTACCTTCTTTATGGTGTAAATAACTATTATTCATAGGAAAACCTCTATATGGTGGTCTACTTGAATCAAAATGTAATCTGTATCTTTTCTGAATAATTTGTTTTCTGATTTGCCTTATTATCTCTGTTATTAATTGAGATACAATTAAATTAAAGAAAGCCAGTTTAACCAACTTAGGCAACTTCGTATCAAATTGAAAACGAACATTAAATTTTTTTTTATTGATCATTATCAATTTGATCGACTAATTCGAAAGAAAATTATCAATATTTTCACAAATTTACACAAAAAATTTATTAACAGTTCTATTCTAAGTTTTTTTCTCCTGATGATGGCATAACAGCCGAAGCTTGTCGGAAAGAAAACAAATGTTTTCTTTTTATTTGCATTTCATATAAAATCTCACAGAAACGACTGAAATGGAGATTTTAACAGAGATAAGCTACGAACAACTTGGATAACGAGCTTTTTCTTACATTAAATGAATAAACAATAATTAAAACAAATTGGACATTTTGTCACGTTTATGCAATGCAGAAACTGATTCTGCCCTTCGTTGCGAAACATTACATGACATGGTAAAGTAGACCAATTGATAGATTCCACTTTTAGTTAGTTCATTTAATACCTAAACACATGGGAAAATAATATAATGACGCACAATAACGTCGATAAACGTCTGTATTTAGAAATGCAAAACGATAAATATCGTAAACACAAATAGTAACATAATTCTATTAATGATTTGTTTAATGTTGTGGTACCAGCGACTACTGATAACGGCGGGATCCCTTAGGGCTTACTATACAATATATAAATTATTGAAATTACTAGTTTTTATTATAGTTATCATGTTCGTGTAACATAATTTTTACATCCGTTATTCAAGGTCCACCAGTGCTAGTAAATATCAACGCTGTTAATAAATGTTATTTGATTTGTTTATATTTACGCGTTTTCCTCAGATCGATTTTTTATTACCGTATTTTCGATAAAGGATATTTAAGGATTCGGTATATTTTCCTCTTTGGATACGGAATGTTTAAATTTAGTTTGTGTTTTTGAAAAATTTCTTCTTAAATAAAGGTAGTTTAAGAAACAAGTATCGAGTGTCCCAAAATTCACGCAAGATTTGAATTTCGCGCCTTTTACTCGGTAAAGTGTTGCTAACGAAATAAATGAAAAGTAAAAAAAGAAAATTAAAAATAGTTTTTGGATCTTGGTTTATTTTTTTCATTTTAGTGCATTTTAATTAAAGCTTGTTTTTTAAATATTTTTTTACTTTTCATTTATTTGTACCTTTTTAGTAAAAAAATTTTGTCCGCCATCTTGGGGCGTGTACCATATTGAATTTAATGTGACGTCATTTTATTTTCTTATTCTTCTCAGCAAACCCTTTCATTTGATACCCATTTCATGGGGGTGCATAAAAAATAACTGGTCCGTTATATTGGATTCAGAATGACGTCACTTAGCTAACCATGCATTGTCATCCAAACTAAACGCGTATCCAAAATTTCAGCTCAACCGGTTGGGATAATTGTTTTAAAATTCACTTGCAAGATTTGACTCATACTAATAATGCAAGTTGAATAAAAGCTTGTGATAATAAAAAAACAGACAACATGACAGTTGAGAGTTCAGGGTTATTAAAAATGGAAAAAATACAAAACATTTTAGAATAAAAATATTTTAGATTTAGACAAAAGTTGTAGAATTTTTTATATCAAAAAATTTGAGCCCAGGCCGATATCAAATATTGATAAACAAATTTATCAGTTATTGCAAAAAAAATTCTTTTTAAAACTTCTATATTTTTAAAACGAAAAAATTTTTTTTTACAAAACTTGCAGAATATGTAGTCTCTGGCAAGTAGAATAAGTGCATTTTTGAAAAATAGTAAAATATTTGATAGTTTTTGCAAAAATTGTGTTTTTCGAAAAAAAGACATTTTCTTCAAGTTCCAACAAATCATACAGAAATGCACTTACGTGCCCCATCTTGGGCTTAAAATTTTCTCTAATTGTAAGAGTTGTACTTTCCTGTGCTAATTTTGCGTGTATTACGAAATAATTGGAAATATACGAAAAATCTACTAAAACTTTGACTTCTTTTTTTGGGTACAAAAATGTAGATCTTTTTCTTATCGTTGAAATTTAATCGGAATAGCATTATTGCCATTTGAAAGCTGACATTTTTTTACAAATTTAAAAGAAAATCATTAAGGTCTGAAATTTACACAAGTTGTAGTTTATTTCAATATAAAAATTAGTTCGCAATGATTGACCCTTTTTTTTACAGCAAACTTAATTTTGTTGGGTTCTGTAAAATGCTTACTTCTCTCCACACGTTGATGCGCATGGTGGGGGTGTATGAATCAACAAAAAAATTACAATTTTTAAATAAAAAAATCCCGTGTTTTCTACCAAAATTACTTCTTGCGTGCTTTTTGGGACACCCTATACATAGTAATAATAAATCAAATTCGTCCCACCTTAAATATTCCAAATATCATCCGTCGCGTACACGATAAAACAATAATAAATTATGTAACTGCGTAAAAACAATACAACAATGGGATCCATCACGGAACAATACTAATGAACGCCGATATATGTTTTAAAACAGGTTCATTTGTTTAATTCAAACTAATCTCTTCATAGAAACAATACCGGCACTTTATGAATCGAATTATTTAAAATTTTATCTTCAAACTGACACAGGGTAATAGTGACGTTTCTACGAGGGAAATTCTACAAATTTGTCATACAGGGTGTCCGGAAATTCATGCAACAAAATTTGGTCATAGATTCTTAGAACAAATTCAGGGGACCCGTAATTTTTCTTTTTGCCAACTGGCCCCCTCTTTCGGAGTTACGGGGTCCACTTGGCAAAAATAAAAAATACGGGTCTCCTAAATTTGTCTTAAGAATCTGTGACCAAATTTTGTTGCATGAATTTCGGGACACTCGTGGATATTCGTGAATGCGCGAAACCAAATTTGTAAAATCAACCACACGCTGACGGCGATCTGGAACAGCCAAATTTTAGAAATCGGGTTCTGATAGCACATCAGCTAAACAGAACTCGACTACACTCGAATGCGGGCAGATTGGTCGCGTTTCTGACTCAGGAGAGCCGCGCGAGATCGAGAACGAACTCATTCGGCTGGTTCCCTTGCGTTTGTGGGCGGAGCTAACTCAGACGCAAACTTATTCGTGTCGCGCGTTGAATTGTTCGATGTAAACAAAACGTTCGTAATAGATCACAAAATGGACAAGGCGATTCTAATCGAGGCTTACCCATTTGCGTTTCGTTTGTTCTCGACGATGACGTTGAGGAGCTTTCCCGAGGCGGCCGTGGTGGTATTCAGGGACTCCCCGAAGTAGGTGCCGTTGCCCTGGGACCCCTCGCTGTTGATGAAGTCCTCCAGCTGGGAAAAGTCCAGGGCCTCGTTGTCGATGCCGCCCACGAAGTCCGCTCCTCGACCTGCGGCAAATGGAGAAATTTGCTTTAGATGAATTTTTTCTTCTGTCATGCTTGCCGACGTAGAAATTTAATAAATACGGGGAAAAAAAGAGCTATTATAAGAAAATATTTTTATCAAAGAAGAAAAAATTGTAAAAACTCGAAATAAAAAATACTTGCTAGCATATTTTTCCAGGTGTATTATGCTTGAATCTTTATGGGTATGACTGTAACATAATTTTAACCCAATAACAATTTCAAGAAATCATATAACGAGCGTTCAAATAAAAACGTGGTCAAGTTGGTTCTGAAAATTTGGACGTAGGGCGTAGCGTATAGCAAATGAACTTAAACGTCATCTGTCAAAGCGCTATATCGCCGCTATCAATTTGAATATTTTCGTTTTAAAAAGCGTTTAAAATGGTGCTTTCTCAAGAACAAAGAGTGTTTATCATAGAGTCCTACTTTAGAAATGGACGCAAGATTCATGGAATATGGAAGTATTCTATTGAGGAATGTTTCATAGAATTTCAAAATTAATTTCCCGGCGTTGTTGAGTACAAAATTTTTCAAAGTGCAGTTCAGCGTTGTGTTAATGTTTTTCGTGAAACGTGCAGTGTAACAAGAAAAGACGGAAGCGTCCGACCTAAAAAGCGGACTGAAGAATTAAAAGAAAATGTCCAACAAATAATGGAAAATGCGCCAAGAACTTCTGTACGTGTTTTATCACAAATGGTGGGAGTATCAGTCGGTACCTGACACACAGTGTTAAAAAAAGATTTGCGTTTGTTCTTCTATCGTTTAACTTGTCAGCAAGAACTTCATGAAGTTGATTTTCCGCGACGGGCTGTATTTTGTGAATGGTTTTTAAACAACTACGGTGAACTTCATAATATCACCTTTTTTTCTGATGAAGCCTGGTTTCATTTAAGTGGTTACGTAAACTCACAGAATATGAGAATGTGGTCTTCTGAAAAACCAGATAACTTTTTTGTCGAGGGCCCTCTACACGCTCAAAAAATTGAAGTTTGGTGTGCTCTCAATCGAAGGAGGATTTATGGACCTATTTTTTTTAATGGTACTCTTACTGCGCAAAGGTATAGAGAAGAAATTATCGCTCCTTTTGTTAACCAGCTGGAAGAAAACGAAATTACAAACTTTTACTTTCAACAAGATGGCGCAAGGGTATATACGGCAGGCGAGACGATGAATATGTTGAGGGAAGTTTTCCAAAATCGACTAATAAGTCTCAATGCTGAACATGAATTTCCACCGAGGTCATGTGATATTACGCCGTGCGATTTCTTTTTGTGGCCTTACCTTAAAAACACTATTTTTGAACTGCCTTTTCCTGATTTAAACCATCTGCAGGCTCGACCTATAGACAAGATTCGTGAAATTAACAATACCCCGAGCATCTTAGAAAATGTCTTTAATTCTTTGAGGAACAGGTGTGAAAAATGCTTGGAACAAGGAGGGGGACACTTTCAGCAGCTGCTTTAATTTATTGTTATAACAAGGAGGGGGACACTTTCTGCAGCTCCTTTAATTGTTTGTTATTGTTATCACGATTATTCTTTCATTAACGTTATTGAAACTGACAGCTGCTATACAGCTCGTTGAGAAATGAGGTTAAGTTGGTCGCTATAAGCTACTCCCTACGTCCAATGTGTAAGAGCCAACTTCGACCACGTTTTTATTTGAACACTCGTTATTACAGAATTTATTTGCTTAGCTCCTAAACCCAAAGCGGACTTCGCTGTGAGACGTCTGCGAGCCCATCAAGGAACGTGATCGAACATCGACCCTGGTATCTTGCAGTTCAATAACCAGGGACATTATCTGACCAGTACATGTTGTACGGCACATTTCTTATTTGCATTATAACAATCAAATAACATACATAATATATTCGTTTATTGTTATTAGCAGAACGGAAAAGGATAAATCAAATTTCTCTTGGGCAAGTAGTTCGTCATCAAATTCCATAGTCTGGCCCTAAATTGACTAAACTTTAACTACTTTAATACAATTTTACTTCCTTAAAAAGTAAACAACGCTGAAAAAAATAAGTTTCACTTAATTTTTTTAAGATAGTTAACCATCATTTTAAAAATACAGGGTATCCCTGAAAAGGATGTACAACGCTTGACCACAGGTTCCTTGGATGAAAACAAGACTATTTAGCCTAACCTATATACAAAAGTGCACGCCTTCTAAATATAGAACAGATAACTTTTTTTTCAAAGAATTTGAAAACTGTTTTTCTTAGAAACTTCAAATTTGGTATACATATTTTTTTATATAAGGGCAATGTAAATATAGAATTTTGTGATAATACATACACAGGATGTTCCTTTCTAGTGCCTGTGCGCCACTGGTTATCCCGTAACATTTTTGTATGTACGCCAATGACGACAGAATTTATATTTTTAAAAATAAGCACTATTTTAGAATATTTTCTTGCCTCTTACAAAATTTTGATATCGTTTATGGACTTCGAGTAAAATTGGCATTTTTTACACATTAAATAATATAAAATCAGTTTAAGATAAATAGAACGTTCTAGTACGAGGTGCCATATAACAGAGAAACAAATTCATAACAATAATTAAAAGGTTCTGTGTCAAGCTAGCTGTGATTTAATTTTAGCTTACTTTGTTTTTTATTGCAATTTATACTTTTGCTGTACAAACTGATATGTTAGTAGTTTTGGGTTATTGTGAAGGAAATTGTTGTGCTACTGTTCGAACATGTGCTAAAAGATTTCCTAATCGAAGAACTCCAAATCACAAAACGTTTGCTAATGCGGAGAGATGCTTTCGGGAAACAGGACATTTTTTACCTGTAACATTAAATCGTGGATAATGTACGGCGGAATTATTCAGCTAGAGGAACAAATTTTGGAAAGGGTCGAAGAAATTCCTCAAGTAAATAAAAGGCGTTTAGCGGCAGAGGTTGGCTTTCAAAAAGTTCCTTTAATAGAAGTATTAAAAGACCAGTTATTACAGGTTACAGGTATTACAGGGTACAGGTAGGTATTACAGGTTATTAAAGGTCTAACAGGTGGATAGGTACAGGAAATAATGCCCCTCTAAAATGGCCACCTCGATCCCCGGACCTAAACCCATGTAATTATTTCATTTGGGGAGCGTTGAGGACCACAGTTTAAAATAACTTTTCAGTAAATACAGAAAACGAATATGGGAAAGAATACAACATGAAATTAATGTTATGGGAGGTAATGCACAATTATTGGATAATTTCTAATTTTCGAAGAACTAATGTTTGCGTTTAAGAACAAGAAAGTAACTTTGAGCATTTACTGTAATATTATTTTAATGTGATTACAAATATCAGTATATTTAAAATTTTAATGTTGACTTTCTTACATTATTAGTTGATATTGTTTATTTAAAATATTAGTGTTGATTTTTATTTTATTGTTTGATAATATTAATACCAAAAATGTGTAGTTATTTTTTTAATGCGACGTTTTTTCATTATTATTCCCTGCTTTGAGGATGCAGTTATAAATAATTTTTTATAAATCGGACTTTTTGCCTATATTTAATGTATAAAAAAAGCGAATTTTACTCGAAATCCATAAACGATATCGAAATTTTGTAAGAGCAAAAAGATCTTCTAAAATAGTGCTTATTTTTAAAAATATAAATTCTGTCGTCATTGGCATACACACAAAAAAGTTACGGGATAGCCAGTGGCGCACAGGCACTAGAAATAGAACATCCAAATTCTATATTTACCTTGCCATTATATAAAAAAATAAGTGTACCAAATTTGAAGTTTCTAAGAAAAATATTTTTCAAATTATTTGAAAAAAATAGGTTATCTATTCTATATTTAGAAGGCTATATCTCAGTAGGCGTGCACTTTTTTATGTAGGTAAGTTAGGCTAAATAGTCTTATTTTCATCCAAGGAACCTGTGGTCAAGCGTGTCTATCCTTTTCAGGGACACCCTGTATAAGATATTCCAGGGTTTTTCAGGTAGTCGAATAAGAATATGAACTTATTCTTCACCTAAAACATAGATGTTTCTATAAATACCTAACAGTATATTTTCTTTGCCATATTTTTTTCTATTTGAGAAAATACAGATGTTTCAAGGTTTCCTGACTTTTCCATCGAGCTGATCCCGACCACTGGATATCCCGATTACTAAAATTTGTCATTGCAACTAAATAAAGAATTTGTAATGGCTGCGCAAGACAAAAGAAGATACAATACCCTGAAGATAGTGATTTGTTTGATAATATCCGTTTCTTTCTCGGTTGCTCTGGAAAAAATCCCGGTGGATCCTTGTTTGTGACCTGAGAAGGTAATGACATAATTCCCGTGTTCGCGCGGAACGGTGTGGTCGTTGCTATGACGACGCGTAAACAATAACCGAGGTTTATTGAACAAACAATTTTGATGACTCCACGCGTTTTGATGCCAAAAGATTTAACCGTGATAGAGGGTTCGAGACGAGGCGATTTTTACTGGAATCGTTAATGGGCGGGTTTAAGGAAACTCCTTTTATTTCGTTGAGTATTTCTGCCACACCGAACAGAAGAAAAATATACTTAATTAATAATTCTTCATGACTACAAAATAATCACAACAACAACACACTATACATAACTTATTTTGGGCCACCCTGTATAGATGAATATACCATCGGAAAAACCGCAGCCAAAAATAAAAATCGACGCATACAAGTATTTTTCCAAAAAACTAACCCTTTAATTTTAAATGAATTTGTTTCAATCCGGGCATCTTCACTGTATGCAGGGTGATTTCACTTTACACTCTGTATCTCGAATACCACACCCTCCAGGAAAAAAAGTTATAGATTTATAGATTTATCTGCTTATTTTTTGGCAACTAATCTATTCTGTATTTAAAGTAAAATCACCATGTATATTTTTTAAACTTTAACACCCTGTATGTGTACATATACTATACAGCTAACGTTTCGAAAAACTCTCCGTTCTCAATATCAAAACTTTTGTTCTCA